GGGGGGTGTTGGTTTGAAAAGTGGTGCTAGTGTTGGTAATGGTTGATGCTAGCTAGTAAAGTATATAAATAATGATACGATGTTAGTAGTAGTGGTGATAATAGTAATGGTGATAGTGAGAAGATAAACGAGACAAATGGCTGGCGCAAAACTTTTCCCTTTTTATCCCTTTTTTTGTCTTCTTCTTCTTCTTCTCCTCCTCTTTCTATTTCTTTCCAGCCACAGTCACCCCCTCCCACGCCCCCCCCCTTGTTCACTTCTTTTCGTTTCTTCTTATCGTTGGTAAAACGTTTCACTTTTATCTCTCTCTCTCTCTCTCTCTCTCTCTCTCTTTCTCTTTCTCTCTTTGGTTTTCTTCTTACTCATTGCAATCTTCAATAGAAAGGGAGGGAAACGACACAAAGGGTGGGTGGTTGGTTGAGGGGTGAGTTCTAGGTTTTTACTTCTCGAACGTTTTCACACTTACGTGTTTTCCATTTCTTTTCTTTTCTTTTCTTTTCTTTTCTAAAGCAGCAACAACTCTACGATTGTTTATTTCTTTTTTTTTTTTGGTTTTAGTTGAAAGAAGAAAAAAAAAAAGGTGTTCTGTATTTTTTCTCGTTAAGCTATTCCACCCAGCAGCACGAAAGAATTATAGAAAGTAGTAGTAGTAGAAGTAGAAGTAGAAGTAGCAGCAGGTGCCGGGCACGCTTGAGACCAGTTTGCCGGTGACGTTTTATAAACTTACGACAAAAATATTATACCTTTTGCTAACGTTGAACAAGTCATTTTCTTTCTTTCTTTCTTTCTTTCTTTTTTTTTTTTTCTTTACTTACTTAGTTGAGAAGTAACGTTATATACAGGGTGATTCATTCACCCAGTTCTTGTTAGCTAAATAGCTATGAAAGTCTGATAGTTGTAGAAAAGTTTATTATGAAAAAGATTGTATGACAAATTTTTAAACTGTAATATAAAATTAGTATTTATTTTTGTTAGGTTTGCTAGATTTGCTAGGTTTAATCATTTTTGAGATTTATTGGTTAATTTTGTTTTTTTTTTTTCAAATACAATGTGTTATGTTATTATTTTATTATATATTATTAGATTATTTATTTTTGGATATTTAGGTAGCAAGAGTTAATGAATCACCCTGTATATATATATATATATATATATACATATAAATTATTTAATTATCAAATATTAAATTAAATAATTTAATATTATTAATATATAATTTAATTAAATATTAATATTTAATAATTAATATTTAATTAAATTATTTATAAATATATATATATATATAATCTTTCCACCCACACCTCCCCTTGTTTATATATATATTATATTATTAAGCTTTCAGTAAAGTTGGACGTAGAACGAATCGATTTATTAGTATCTTGTCAATGCTGCGTATCATTTTACTTTGTCATCCTATTGGACTTTCTAAAGGATTTGATTGATTCGTCGAAATTAACGTTAAACCTTTCTATAACATCGTATTACTTTGTTCGTCACACCCACGTCAAGTATATATATAACAAGTATTATGTTGTATTTCTTGTATAAAGAAATTATAACAAATTTAACATTAAATATTGGGATCTCTAGCATTTGAATACGCTATCTGGTGGCTAGATTCAAAATTAGAGTAGATAGGTCGAACTGCTACGCCACGTGGCTGGATCTCTAGCATTCGAATACACTATCTGGTGACTAAATTCAAAATTAGAGTAGATAGGTCGAATTGCTAAGCCACATGGTGGGATCTCTAGCACTTGAATACGCTATCTGGTGGCTAAATTCAAAATTAGAGTAGATAGTTCGAACTGCTACGCCACGTGGTGGGACCTTTAGTACTTAAATACGCTATCTGATTGATTTTTAAAATATATGTAATTAATACACGTTGTTGCATTAATGCACGACTTGCATTTTGCATCGATATTTAAGAAAAAAACAAAAACAAATAAGAATCCTCATTTTCTAACGAAAAATTATTAGAACATTATTTTATTATTTTAATTAAAAAAAAATATATATATATGTAATATTAATTTAGTTAAATAATAAATACCGTATAAAATGTGTTTCAATTTTTATATTGTCAAAGTAAAAAAAGTTTTCAAATGAAATAAAAAAAAAAAAAAAAATCTGTTTCAACCACCGTAGGAATATCCAAACGTACTTAGAAACTGATCAACAGGTGTCATGGAAGACGATTTACGTATAAATAAAAAAAAAAAAAAATTAACAGGACAAGAAAAAAATGCGTTGACATGTCAAGTGAACAAAAAAAAAAAAAAATTCGATTCTTCTTCTTTCACTTGGATATTATTCACTTCGATTGTTCGAAATGATGAAATATGAGCTTTTCCTTTCAACATATAATAATAATAATAATAATAATAGAAAAATAAATTCAACTCACATGTATCGGCAAGCAATTGCGGAAGATATCTTTTCCAAAACGCGCACTGTCTCGTTCTGATGCCATAACCGACGTCAGAGTTGTTGGTGTCAAGTGTTAAATATTCCTTTTTAACGGCAGTGTGAACTGGCCAATGAGGAAGCGTCCAAGAAGTCGAGTCACCAAGATTCGGATCTCTGTAAAAAACAAAACCAAAAAAAAAACCCCACAACAAATATATTTATTATTTTGTTCAATTTATTCATTTCATTGGTATTTAAAAAAAAAAAAGTTCGACTTACCCAGTTTTAGCAAAATTAGCCCAATACTTCATCATTCTTTTCGATAATAGAACTTCTTCTTCTGTATAACCCCTAGAAGAGTCTAAAGGTTCACCAAATATATAGTTGATCTCATCGGCGTGCATAACACCTGTCCATTTTGGCCAAGGATTGTTCGCTGATCTGGGAAAATAAAAAAAAAAAAATAAAAAACAAAACAACAATTACATAACCTCAAAAACACATAGTTCGAAGAAGTCCTAAATACGATGTTATGATTTTATTTGATTAAAAAACAACTAATCAAATAATCATTAATTATTATAATATTTCAAAAGTAATTTTCAAATTAAATGTGTACCCAAAGGATTAAAAGAACCCACTTATCCCGTTTGCATAATAATAATAATAATAATAATAATAATAATCATCATCATCATCAACTTACCTGTGCTTATAGTAGTACATGTAAACGGTATTGTCAGTGTCAGCGTATCGGTGAGCAAATTCATTGACGTTACAGGTGAACTGATAATCACCGACCAATTTGTCAATGGCATCGCGATTGATGTGAGGATCATCGGGATGAAGCCAATCGGTATACTCGTATATAATTGCGTTACGTCCTATTTGATTAACGTAAGGATTCAATTCCGAGACGGCCTTGACGAATTGTTCTCTGGAAACTTCGACATCCTCGGTACCATCGATACGGAATAATTCGGTAAGATAATAGATGATAAAGTAGATTCCTTCTTCCGTATTGGAACCCATCAGGATGTTAGCCTTTTTAAAGGAGGATGTTGCCAAGGAACGTTGTGGCATTTCATCAAGAAACGTACCGTCGATAACAGGTACGAATGGAAATTCGCAGATACCCAAAGTACCCCATTCGCTGTCCACCAATTCTTTTGGATCCTTGGCTATCAGACAATCTATAACGTCCTGCAAATGATCCCGATCGTGTGGACAATTAACAGCTTCCGCTAACCTGATCCCTCGTACGATAGATTCCTCGCGTGAAATAATAGCCCAGGGGGCGGTTGCTGAACCCGATTGCATTATCGCCTGATTGAAGAGGTGCCTGAAAAAGCCGAGACGAGAAGCCCCCTCTTGTGTCTTTCATTTCTTTCTCTCTCTCTCTCTCTCTCTCTCTCTCTCTCTCTCATTCTTTTTGTCAACTCTGATCTAGCGATTAGTAGTAGTAGTAGTAGCAGTAGTAGTAGTAGTTAGTAGTACCTGGACAATGGCGATAGAAGGTGCATGGAAACGGACACGGCTCCAGCACTTTCACCGAACAGGGTCACGTTGTCAGGATTACCACCGAAAGCACCGATATTATCGCGTATCCATTGGAGGGCCATTATTTGATCGAACAGACCGGCATTACCGGGAACATCTGATGTCCCGAAATAGAGGAAACCTAAACTGGCTAGTCGATATTGCATCGAGACGAGAATTATGTTCTCTTCGGATACCAACGTTTTGTGATCGTAAACGTCCAACGTTGCTGTCCCGGAATAAAAACCACCTGAAATGATTTGTGGTTTTCTTTTTTCCTATTATGTGTTACAACAACCCCCACCCATCCCACCCCAACTTCGTTTTGTTTTCTCATCTAATATTAATTATTGTTCATCAATAGAAACTCACCACCAAATATCCATACCATAACAGCGGCGTTAGTAGGCCTGGGTCGTGGTACTACCACGTTAATGTAAAGACAATCCTCGCTTAACGGTGTGTTAGGATTCCACATGGTGGCACCAGAAAAATCCCCAAACACCGTGTCGAGAATTTGGACGCAACTGTTTGGCAAAGTAGTCGTATTGAGAACACCGTTCCAACGTTCGGCAGGTCTTGGATGTCGAAATCTTAGTGGTCCTACAATGAATTAACATGAAAAAGAGAAGACATTTTTTTTTTGTTTGTTAAATAATTTCCAAACATTGTAAAACGTACCCAAGGGTTTTTGAGCATAAGGTATGCCAAACCAAGCATCAACTTCCTTTCCAGTCATTGCTGTGAATGTTTTGCCTCTTACTTTGCCCTTTCTAGTTTGTACGATCAATGGATCATCGTTAGGATTAGAACTAAGAGCTTCTGCTCTTGGATAATGTTCATCCTGACGATAATTTTTCACCTCCTCGTGAGATAACTCGGCATGGTGTCTACTTCTATGGGATAACGAACACCAACAGATGTCGAGGTAGACGAGCATGATCAAACTTAGCAGCATTAGTCCTTCGATTCTGGAAAATGAACTACGACTTCTTGGCATCCTGTAGGTCGTCCTCACCTAAATCGAACAAATCAAAACACACACAAAAAAGAAAAACACGAAAATAATACGAAGAGCTAGCCCCCTCTTTTTTTCCTTTTATTTCATTATTTACTTATTATATATTATTAATATTTATTTAATAAATTTTAATAATTAATTATATAAAATACAAATTCGTCAATATATAAAATAATATATTGGGATCTGTAGCACTTGAATACGCTATCTGGTGACTAAATACACAATTAGAGTAGATAGGTCGAATTTTGCTACACCACGCCACCCCTGCCAGAGATCCCAATAATTTAATAATAAATAATAAATATATATAATAATAATAATAATAAAAAAAAATAAATAAATAATTGTTAACAATTAATGAAATAAAAATTGTTTTTCTAAATTATACAAATAATTATTTGATAACTATTATTTGCGAGATTATTATTAAAAGGTTTATTACCGATGGTTAGGAATACACAGTCGGTGATGTCAATGTTGTATTATGCGCGAATTTATCAATTAATGTTAATTAACGATACGATATCGAATAATCCCCCTCTTAGTGCTTAATTGTATTCTCTGTTTATAATTTAATAGGATTTCGAGTGAAGCAAGTTTACGTAGATTCGATCGTGCGTGTTATTGCCAATCGTTGTTCTACGTCTTCCTCCCTATCAATGTTTTTTTTGTTTTTTTTTTTTGTTAATCCATTTTAAATCGTTCATTTCATTTTAGTGAATGCCATTCGTCGGGTAATTATTTAAGCAAAAAAAAAAAAAAAGAAAAATTAAAAAAAGCTGATGTGAAAGCTGACGTTTGTTCATAGTGAAATTTTGTTAATAATTATATTTATTTTTTAACTATATATATATAATTTATTAATTATTATAAATTAATGGTTGAATTCAAAATCAACTAAACGTGTAACTGATTACTCAAATAACAAAACGTTAATCACGTTTACGTGATACACCAACCACACACAAACACACACACATATATATATATAGAAAGGCAACCTGATAACCATTGGTTAGTAAAAAATTTCGTATAGGTGACAGCAATCGTCAAAGTGTTAAGGAACGAGCAAACACTCGACGTCAATTTCAGGAAGTAGAAAGCAGCAACTGGGGGCTGGCTTTGTAAACGGACCAAACGATCGGAAACGATTGTCACTTTCTTCGAACAAACAGGGATACCAGAGAGAGAGAGAGAGTAAGAGAGAGAGAGAGAGAAAACGATCGATTATCACTGACATGAAAGTACGAACGACGACGACGACGACGACGACGACAAATTGAGAATGGTTCCGGGCTTTTGTTCGGGGGTCCCATTGAAAACTTTCGTGGCTTTTCCTTTCAAACTGATTGATAACTGCAGACGAATGTAAAAAAAAAAAAAAAAAAAGTAAGATACTATTTTATCTACGAATTTAAACATTACGAATTTGATGATATCATATTATTGTAAAATATCAATTAGTATATGTTTTGGTTGTATGTATACAAAAAATTTATCGATAATTCTCGAGGACAAACGTGTGATAGAAACGTGACTAATTGATTTATCGCAGTTTTATCCGACGTGTCGGATAGAACACGACGTTCATAGAACATAACACACACACGTATACGTATAGACATACACGCACACCCACACGAAGGTTGGTTCACGTTGATTAGGCACTTCCTTTTACGTGTATTATTATTATGCGTATGTGGAAGTAGGCTGTGTATATATTCTCTATGAAAATATATATATATATATATATATAACATTCTATAATACTTATCGTGATTATAATTATTTATTAATGTATTCAATAAACAAACAAACAAAATATATATATATATATATATATAAATCTTATATAAGATGGTAATTTACCTTAAATATTTTAAGGTAATTTGGTTTTTGTTAGGTAATTTAAGTTGATTTAGTTTTAGTTTTAGTTATTTTAATTTATTATTTAATTAACAAACAAAAAAAACATTTAATATTTAATATTTAATTTAATTTAAAAAAAAATTTAATATTTACTTTAATTGTAGTTATTTTTAATTTTAGTTATTTTAGTTAATTTTGGGATATGTTTAGTTTGAGTTATTTTAGGTAATTATTTAATTAATCAAAAATTTGATATTCAATATTTAATTTAATTTATAATTATTTTTAATTTTACTTATTTTACTTAATTTGAAATATATTCAAAATAAAAACTATATTATCTAGTATTGTATCAAAATTGTTCCTAATTATCTTATTACTATTCTCAGATCAAACTACCTCCTGCTGTATATATAAAAATATCTAAGAATAATATATTCATAAATATTACAAATTAACAATATTTTAACTCAACTAAGTATATAACACTTACAACAAGTTACTTTGACACACACACTGAAAGAAAGAGAGTAATAACACAATAAAGAAAACAAATATTTTCTCTTTTTTTTTTTCTGTCATTGTTTTGAAAAAAAAAACAAAAAGAAAAAAAAGATGAAGAAGAAGAAGAAGAAGAAGAAGAAGAAGAAGAGAAACGTTTGAAGATCGATGGTATTTTTCCTCACACTCAGGAAAAAAAAAGCACTTAGAAAAGTCAGCTACTACACTACGCTTTCTATCTCGTTTACAGTCTTGCAGTTTGATCCAACAAGTGTCACTCGAGTTATCCGTGTATCCACGATTTCCTTTCGTTTCGTGGTAAACCTCGTCAACAGCATCTTCCAAAGTGCACTTCACCAAAAGAGAGAGACAAAGACAGACAGACAGACACACAGAGAGAGAGAGAGAGAGAGAGAGAGAGAGATAGAGACATATCATCATACTGTACAACGATTACAACTGAACCAATTCGTATATGTACTTTGAAACGTATGAAATCTAATAAGACATGGATATGGAAATAGTTGATGCGATTGGAAATTTACCATCTAACATTTCTAACAACTAGTACAACTTCTATGAAACATATATGTGTGTATATAGATATATATATGCATATATCATAAGAGCAAACCATCAAGAGTAATCTGTTTAACTCGAGAGATGCAGATGCAATATGAATGAGAGAGAGAGAGAGAGAGAGAGAGAGAGAAAATATTTTTGGAAAGTTAAATATACTTCTAATACCTATGACATCATCAACCAAATCCCATATTAGATTTCAATATATATATATATATATTCGATGAATTAATTTCTATTTAAAATGAAATTGTAATTTAATTAATGAAATTTAGTTTAATTTAATTCAATAAAATGATTCAATTTTTTTTTTCTAATATTAACGTGTTAAATAATCACGTTTATTTGATATATATATATATATATATAAAATTAAATAAATAATTGTTTTTTTTTTGTTATCTTGGATATTTCTAAGGGTTGAAAAAAAGGAATTCCTTTTTCTGTGAAAACCTATAAACGAAATGGCTGTATCGATCAGGTTTGCTAAAGAAACGTCTTTTCTCTTTTCCATCTTTTCAGATCTCGTTGCCCAGTTATTCCCAGTTCCGTTCTTGCTTTTCCCGAAGGAAATAAACAAAAAAAAAAAAAAAAAGAAATAAATAAAAAGTAAGAAAAAAAAAAACAAAAAAGGTAAAGCTTCCTTTTTTCTCCCTCTCGTTTTTTTTCCTTTTTAGTTTTTCTTTAGCCTAATCTCTTTTATTTTTTTTTTGTCAAAGAACAAACCGTTAATGGAATTTCCTCGTCGAAATAAATCCTCGTAATTTGCATTCTTTCTGACAAATTTCTATTGCAAAAATAATAACATTTCTTTAAAATATATATATATATATATATACCGCCATCTGTTAGAATCTTATCGAACTAACAGAGATAATCATGACTCTCATTAATTAATAAACAAATAATTCGATTATAAATTGAGATATAAACTATCCTATCTTTCAAGTTGGATGAAATTGCACACAGTGTGCAAAATTTCATTGAAATCAATTCAGTAGTTTAGGAGTCCATTGCGGACA